TTTCTTTCTTTCTTTCTTTCTTTCTTTCTTTCTTTCTTTCTTTCTTTCTTTCTTTCTTTCTTTCTTTCTTTCTTTCTCTTTCTTTTCCTTCCTTTTTCTTTTCTTTTTTTGAGAGATTTAGCCCTATTAGGGCACATGTACTCACCAGAGAGACAGAAATGAGAAATACTCCTTTCCACCCTTGCCCCGAGAGGGGATGGCCATGACACAATCCCTTCTCCATTCTCCTTTTGGGATTTTGGGCATGCATGCATTGAATAGAATGATGATGCAATAATGCATGCATGATTCTGCCTTCCCCACAATGTGCAAGATCCTTGGATGGATGAATAGGCCTGTTAATTTTTTTTTTCCTAGAGGGCATGTGTGCTTTCTAGAGAGATAAAGAAAGAGAGTGAGAGAGAGAGGAGAGTGAAGAGAAGGCACTCCACATGGGGAATGGTCACACCACAACCCATTCTACTCTATTTCTCCCTCGTTTTGGGATTTGGGGCGTGCACACATACGTGCCTGAAATGTTTCTCAGGTTAAGAGGTCCAGAACTTGAACTTGCAGTCAGCCGTGTGGGATCTGACTGCTTTAACACAAGGCCAAGTAGCAAGTTTATCCTTTAAAAATTTGTCACTAATTCCAGTGCATATAGACTGGAGAGACATGTTTGAACCTCAAGGTGGCATCATTTTACATAGAATCTAGATTCTCTCTGAACCTTTGCAATTTGAACATTGGTCAGTAGGAGGAGCCCTTAAATAAAAGTTTCTCTGGTGTTTGCATGCATTCAAAACTAATCAGTTATCTTCCTGACAAAAGAGGGGTCTGTATTATCGTGGCAGGTGTATATAATGTTGTCTCTGCAGTTACTAACTCCTGGCACAGGAGATAAGATAGTGGGCTACTGAAACCCTAAGGGAGGGGAGAACATGAGAGGATGCGAAAGCTACCTCATCCTGATTTTGTCCTTCAATATGGGGTCTTTCACCACAGACAGAAGCAAAATGTTAGACAGATGACTTTCTTTAGGTACTTGAGTCACAAATCAGCTGATCAAAGTAAAATGATACAGCATCACAAGCTATTATAGAGTGACAACTAAGAAATGAGCCTTAGATTCACAAAACTTCTGAAGCATTGGTTCAAAGTACTAATTACTTGGTTTCCACGATGTCAAAGTGTGCAGAGAATGGAAAACACCGGGGTTTTATCGCTTGTCGACACATTAATTTTTTGTGCCTAATGTGCAGTTAACATGACACATAATTCTGTCCATGATAGGCTTCTGCCATCTTTCCAACTTCCAATTTTCCAACAATCCTTTCCTCTAGAAACCCGATGGACAGGAAGTCTGGAATGATGTAAGTCACAAGGCTCAGTGTTACCATCAGAGAGATCAATAGGAAAAATCAACTCCGAAATTGGAAAAAAAAAAAAAAGACCCCTCTGTCACACATTATAATCTGGAGAATTTTTTAGCCAGTAGGAGTCCATTTGTCGAATCCTTGGAAGACTTAATAGCTGTTAGGTTTTTGTCTAAAACCTGGTAGAGAAAAATTAATTAGCTTAACAAATGTGTTAATGAGTAGATGACTGCTGCAAAAAGAGATGCTCAGTGCCAGAAAATCCTTTCAAAAGGAACTTTGGCCAGTCATTGGATTCAGGAATCAGTCAATGACCCAAGGGTGTGATGATTGAGCTGAGATGTTGAGTAAATTTGTGGCTTAAGGGACCAGCAGTTAGCGGAATGACTATGTCGCTGGACTCCCATGTAATCGACTGCGGTTCACGTCCCAGACCCGGTGGCTTAACACTCACGCCAGGCACATGTGCGTGCGTGCCCAGGATCCCAAGAAGAGAATGGAGGAGAAAGGATTGCAGTGTGGCCAGCTCCCCTGGGGGGGTGATTTCTCACTTTCTGTCTCTCTGGTGAGCATACACGCCATTTACAAAAAAAAAAAGTAAAAGAAAATGGAAACCCAGGTTGAACCCGCAGCTGGAGAATCATATGAGTCACTCTGCTCTCACCACTTTTTATTTATTTATTTATGAGAGAGCTTTTCACAGAGAGACAGAGAGACAGAAAGTGAGAAATCACCCTCTAGGGAGGACAGCCATGCCACAATCCCTTCTCCTCCATTCCTCTCAGGATCTTGGGCATGTACGCACATGCGCCTTGAGTCAGTTTTAAGCCGCTGAGACCAGGACTCGAACCACGGATGACTATGTGGGAATCCAGCAACGTAGCCATGATGCCATCTGCTGGTCTCTGCTACCACCACTTTATCTTTCTGTGATATTATCTGCATATCAGAGTTACTGTGATATTATATTAAAAATCATAATACAAATTACTCATGATATTATGGATTATTAATGTTATATTTTTAAATTACTAGGAATTTCCATTTATCGTGAGAGTCGTATCCTGGTATTTATACTGGAAGGCTTTCATGTTTTGTCCTACTGGGTCCTCACTAATGTCTAAGAACATAGAGTATTACCAACATTTAATGTGTGAATGATATTCTGAAAACAAATCTATAATGGCTTAAAGTAATCCCTCAGTAGCTCCCCTTTTCCTAAAACATACTACTCGGTGTCTCAATTTCAAAAATAGAAATGGGTTATTATCTGTTGATAATAATGTGTATAGCATCCCCAACTAGACTGGTGTAAAGTGTATTCATGTTGGAAAATTCACTTTATAAGCTAAGTGATGGATAGTGATTGAATGTATAAAATAAAATAAAATATTAAAAAAAGAAAATAATAATTTTGTAATAATCAAAATTTTATACTGTCAAAATGAATACTTTTTCTTTCTCTCTCTGACATGTTCACCAATTCTCTCAAGGGTGGCTAGCCATAGTCTCTGACCTCTAGATTGTTGGGGAATTGGAAGGAAGCAAAGCAAATGAATGAGAAAGCTCTTAATTGACCAGCTGTTTTGTGTTTAGTCTAGGTTCTCTGGGTCTTACAAATGCTTATGAAACACATTCATGGATCTAAGAGAGTTCACATTCCTAAGATCTGTCATTTCTTTGATGCTAAAGGAGCTCCAGAAAAGTAATAGTATTTTGGATGAAAAACTTATAAAATAGTGGAAGACAAAATTAAGCATAAAACAAAAGTATTATGTTAACCATAAAACATAGTATTATATGTAGAGAATAAATTAAAGTATGAATAAAGGAGTAAAAATTGAAGAACCAATCCAGAATGTCCACCTGCAAAATTCCAGAATAAGAAAGAGAGACGGGACCAGCAGTTAGTGTAATGGCTATGTTGCT